CAATTTTCCTTTCTATTAAAGATTATTTAATATTAAGTTTTAGAAATATTTCCTTTCTGTTGAATGAAGATGCCAGGCTGTCTGATTCTTATGCCTGCATTCTTGATACCACATAATCTAAAACTTTTAGGACTAACTTGGAAAGTCAGAAATTATTTAGTCCATCTCCCATGATCTTGAAGATGAGCAAAAAGTTTCAGAGAAGTTAGAGTCGAAGTGATCTGTGTCCTTCCCCACAACCTCACTTCCAGATGCTGTATTACAATGAAAGAAGACCCCCTTAGTCTTTTTCTACCTCCAGGAGCCAGGAGAGCTAAACACTCATTAAGTCTTTACCTACCCTGGTTTCAACATTCATTATGTAAAGAACAGAATAGGACTTGTTAGTCTTCCTCTACCTCCCAGGGGTCTAACTATTCTTAAGCAAATAGAACTTGTCAATCTTTCTCTAACTCCAAGGGGTCTAGACATTCATTAAGCAAAGAATAGAACTGCAGGGTTCTTCTGGTTCTGTGAAACATTCCTTCCAGGTTGTAGAAGATTTACAACAGATAAGGCCCTACCTTTAGAAGGCCTCCAGCAGATGGCCTCAGGTTTTTTGCACAACCTCTCAGTTACTGAGTTATGGCTGGCATGCCCACTACCTCTTGAATGGTGCCAGAAACATTCATCAGACAGGACTCAACCCCACCTCAAAGAGGCCCCTTACCTGCACTCCATGCTGTCACCGTTTTCCATATTCAGTATAAGCCCATCTATTTGCAGATATTTTAATAAATCCCTGGGCTCGGCGCCTGTAACTCAGTGGTTCAGGCACCAGCGACACACACCGGGGCTGGTGGGTTCGAACCAAGCCTAGGTCTGCTGAACAACAATGACAACTACAACAATAACAACAAAAATAGCCAGGCTTTGTGGCAGGCGCCTATAGTCCCAGCTACTTGGAGGCTGAGGCAAGAGAATCTAAGCCCAAGAGTTTGAGGTTGCTGTGAGCTGTAACGCAGCGGTACTCTACCAAGGACGACATAGTGAGACTCTGTCTTAAAATAAAATAAAATAAAAAATCTCTACTATTAATTCTACTTGACCTGGTTCTTCGCAGCGCTTTCCCACCACCTTTTGACACCTAACAAACCTTAGATTGAATTCTGTCACAAGAAAGAAATTTACTACCAAGCAAGCACCATGAGTCCACGACCTGTTCCTGGAGCAGCAATCCAATTTAGCATTCTGCAGCACCCTGTCCAGAAAAGTTTCTCCTTGAGACAAGTGCCCCTATTTTATGATGACATAATCAGCCACCCTTCTAGCTAGGTCAAGCACAAAATCTTTGGTTAAGTTGGGAGATTCTGGAACAAATGGAGCTCCAGCCCAGGGCACTACTCCAAAAGGCTCTGCTGCCAAGCTTTCTTCTTGACTGATTCAACAACAGGCAGAGACGCTTGTACCATCTTGTCAGCCTCAGATCTTGCACACCATTCATTTCATCAACAAAAAATTGTTTCTGACATTCCTTATACAAATGAATAAACCCTCCAGTGCTGATTTAGAAGGCAATATTTGCAGAGCTTGTCACAATGGCCTCTAGGCCAATCCCCACAGCAGGGATTCAAGCTTCCTACTGGCTCCTCTGAGGTATTTAAAGTAAATTACTGAGAATAAAACACTTGCCTAAGGAAACCTGGCTAGTTAGGACCAGAATTCAAGCCTCCTCACTGAAAACAGAGTTCCTTCTGAGGCACAAAGCTTTCTTTATACAACCTTTATACTACACCAACACCTCTACAGAGCATCACACAGAAAACTAATACTCAGAATCACAAATTAGCCCTAAGACTCAGTTATGTTCCAAACACTGTACTTATTAAAACAGAATAATAGATATTTTATGACACTTATTTTCTCTCAAATTGGTATTTTTAAGTGAGAAAACCCTGTATTGGTAAGGACAAGCAAAACTGGCAGCCCTTTTAAAAAATTATTGAGAGGAGTGTAAATTGGTTTTGTAATAATATCAAAAACCTTAAAGACATCCACGTCCTCTGACCCAGACATTCCACTTATAAAAATTTATTCTGAGGAATTTATTGGAGATGGATACATTTCTTTGTAAGGATGGCTGTCATAAGAGAATTACAATAACGAAAAATCAGAATCATCAGCACAAGAGTTCAATAGTTAGGACTTGATAAATAATTATGGCACATTAGACGATGTAGTTATCTGCAGCCAATAAAATAATTTGTGAAAAAATAACTAATAACATAGAAAAATGTTAATGGCCATTTGATAATAGGCTCAAATTAAATGCACCACTGATCCAAATTTTATTTTTTCTGAGACAGAGTTTCACTACATCACCCTCAGTACCATGCCATGGCATTACAGCTCACAGCAACCTCAGACTCCTGGGCTCCAGTGATTCTCCTGCCTCAGCTTCCCAAGTAGTCAGGCCCAAAGGCACCTGCCACAATGCCTGGCCATCTTTTTGTTGCAGTTGTCATTGTTATTTAGCTGGTCTGGGCTGGATTCAAATCCGCCACCCTCAGTGTATGTGGCTGGCGCCCTACCCGCCAACCTAATTTGCCCTGATCCAAATACCGATAGGAAAATATTTCAGGGCCTGGCATGGTGGTTCACACCTGTAATCCTAGCACTCTGAGGCAGGTAGATTGCCTGAACTCAGAACTTTGAGATCAGCCTGAGCAAGAGTGAGACCTTGTCTCTACTAAAAATAGAAAAACTAGGTGGGTGTTGTAGGGGGTGCCTATAACCCCAAATATGAAGAAGCTGTGGCAAGAGGATCTCTTGAGCCCAAGAATTTGAGGTAGCCGTGAGCTATGACTTCCTGGCACTCTACCCAGGGTGACAGAGTGAGACTCTATCTCAAAAAAGAAAAAAAAAAAAAAACCCTGATAACCCAATTTTTCTAATCGTCATTAAGAATTGTGGAAAAAAAGAACTGTGTACCCTTGCTATAACTATTTGTCTGACAGCACAAGTGAGAAGAGTCATCTAAGTATCCAGTTCATAAAAAAAGTCGCTCAGGAAGGAACGAAGTGATGTGCCAGATACCACAAACTAAATAAACTTGGATCTTTCTGAGTATTTGTCTAGGAAATACACTTGTAAAGGCTGTCCATCCATCGTGTGGTCTCTGCTTTCCCTTGCAGATCATTTTTATTCTACAAGATCAAATTTCTCCTTGTTTTGGAAATAATATATAATTAGGGGATTTCACAGAGTGAGGTTGAGATATATTTTGTCACGAAGAGTTTATGAAATTCGATCTTTTATTCGGTGAAGCAGGATTTTGTTGTCTGAATAGCAGCCTAACGAGAAATGGAGAAGCAAGAACTCAAGGGTAAACTTCCATGTAAATTGACATTTTAACATTACTCAAAATCTCATAAAGCCCTAGCATTCCAAAAGGTGGAAACCTGTTCTTTTCTTTCTTTCTTTCTTTCTTTTTTTTTTTTTTTTAAAAAGAGTCTTACTGTGTCACCCTGGGTAGAGTGCTATGGCATCATAGCTCACAGCAACTC